AGACAAAGCTGAAATGGTCTTAGGTTTCTCGTGGCCTTCTTTAGCTGTGTAGCGTTATTTGGACCTTGTATTCGCAAATTTGTTAAAGTGAAAGGAAGAATTTGTAGAACATACCTAGTCCTGTATTCTCTGCCAGAATTTTGGTGATGATGTCCGGCATATAATCGTCGCCTTGATGTTTTCTTAACATTTAGCTGAGATCGCATTAGACATAGTCAGAGATAAGCGCCATCCTCAGCAGAGAGTAACAACATATCAGAGTAACACGGGAAGGTAATACTCTTGATCAAGTTGCAAAGACAAGGTCAAACCAAAGCGTCACAGTAGGATGTTTCGCTGTAAAACATCATTACTCTTGCATTTTGCCTATACAAGCCAGTTGCCTTTCCCAAACAAATGAATTAGTAGAAATGAGTATTTTGAAATCCCATAAAATGTGCAGATCAAAAGCTGTTAACATCAAATTTAAAAACTAAGATATTTGTAAATACTTCATGTCTAAGTAGATAATTCAATTAGTCAATATTCTAGTTAAGGCCTCTTATTTCTTGCTTATCTTATTACCATAACAATAAGAATAGGATAGAATGCATACTAGGGAAGATCCATAATATGATCTAAAACTTAAAATATGTTCTTATCAAAAGTAATTCAGACTTATATAGCAAAATACTTATAGGATTTCATAGTCTTAAGCTCTAATATACATATCAACTCTAATAGGCCAGAATCAATTACAATCCAAAGAATAAGGTTATTTCATATCTAAATTTTCTAACAATATCCAAAACATGTATATATTATTCTATTTTATCGTCATCCTAGACGATCTATTTTAAAAGATACAATATAAATTTGCACTCAAAGAAGGAAGAATGATGAAGGTATTTAAAAATTAGAAATTATTTACGTATGGTATCAAATGACGTTTAAACTCAAAATAAATACATGAAATTCAAATAATATATGATTTTAATTAACAATCGATAAATAAGCTAAAAAATTAAAGAAGAGTAATTTATTTTAAAATCATTTTCTAGCATTCCTACTTTAAAGGCAGGGAATATATCAGATCCAAATAAAGAAAGTTACGAAATAGAATAATAGAATACCCATATAGACCTGCATAAATTTGATTACTTTTGAGGTCCAAACCATCAGTTCTAAATTCACATTTATTAAACATTACTTTCAATTCTTGCTTTGTCAACTTAATTGTTTAAGTTTTCTAAATACTTTTACAAGGTTATAGCCGCTGAAGATAAATCCGTCACCATTTGTTTCAACTTTGGAGTAAGGCTAATTTATCCTAATATGAATCCGTTACAATTGCTGTAATCTACCTCAAGAAAGTTTTATAAACAATCAATAAATGACTCTAAACCAAGGAATAGCTTCGTTTATAGATCAAAATGGCGTTGCTAAACTCGAATTTCATTCGACTATGCGTAATCTCTGCTCAATCTTTCCAGTTAACAGAGAAACAGTTGAATCCATCCTTTATGAAAACGAAGGAAATTTAGAAAGTTCAATTAATGAATTAATTATCTTATGTAATGGCGTCATTCGTGATGGACAGCAGCTTAGAATCCATCCTAAATTTAAGGTTTGAACCTCACGTATTCAAATAATTTAGTCCCATTTTGTAGATAAATTTTAATATATATTGCATGCTTGTGTAAATACATTATTTTAATAATTGAGATGTATCTACTGTTCTGATTTATTTTTCCTTCTTTATTACGTTTAGTTTTTATTACTTTCTTTCACATACTAGTCTTTGTATGCATTATCGCACTTCAAGTTTTGTTTATGTAAGATCTTATTTCAAATTTTTGTTTTGCTACAAATAGTATCATTCACTTTACCTACTTATGCTTTCTTTTATATAGCAAATGATTAATTCACAAATACAATTAAAACACGAAGCCTATCGTGGTGGTGGACACCCCACCATGCATTCCTCTTCAAATCAATCTCGAGAAACTATTGAAACTTCTACGATAGCAGATAGTTTTTCTGCTGTCTCGAGTCAAGCATCGCAATTTGTTCCTTCCTCTGTTGCTATTTCTTCGACATCATCACTAATAGCCTGCCCTACACAATCTAATAACTCTAACATAGGTAGTCCGAATATTGTCCACTCTTCAGAACAACCACCACCTTATGAACAAGCAATTGCAATGCCTATTTGTCCACCAAATCTGGCAATACCAATTACAGACCAAACTCTGTCATTAGGCCAATCTAGAATTAATTTACACAATTTTTCTCCCGCATCGATGCCACATAGAAGAAATAAAAGTTCACAGAATAAAAGAAACTGTTCATTGCATAATGAAACCAACAATAATTCTTCCTCTTCTGAAGCTTTTAATTGTGAACTTACTCAAGGTAATCCTCCCACTAGAAGTTATTTTAATTTTTCTGATCAAGATTATTACACTCAGCCAGTGTGCCAACATATTATCGAAGAACATCTCAATTCCAGATTAAAACGTGATATTTTTTTAGCAAATGCCCGCCTTTGCGGAGCAAATTTAAATGCAGATCACCAATACTCCCCATCTGGGGCGAATAGCCGTAGAACCAAACTTTTAAGAGGAGAAAATGAAGCGGATGCGGAAGATGGATTTGATATTGATGAGGCAGACTCAAAGGAAATGCTATTCCGGGCTAATTTTTCCAAAGCTATTCAAGAAGAGCAAGGCATTTTGCAATTAGAAGATGCTGGTGAGATATTTGAGAATGAGGAATGTACTGAAGTAATTAACAGAAATCAGATGCATTTACATAACCGACTACTTGTGCGACCTTCTTCGCAGCCAAATTTGGCTGGCTTGACGAATTCTTCTAATTCTGTCTCTTCATGTGAACAAACTGCATTGATTACCATGGAAAAATTTCGCGCTCATTGTAAAAAGAAATCCAAAAATCAGCCAAAGACATCAGATTGTGCTCCTTTATATCTTCAAGCTAGATGTGGACAACCAAACGTAAAAATCCAAATGCAACAACGCGAGCAACCATATAGGCAAAAACAAATTGAGGCACATGCGGATAGAAAAGAGTTATTAACGCAACAGAAAATTACTGGACTAGTACTAAATAGTAAGAGCTGCCAGCCTATTTCTGCAAGCCCTTCTCGCTATCATTCGATAGATTTTCCATCTGCGCATGTTAGCACAAACCTTGGTCGAGAAAGACGCCAACTTGCACTGATTCAAAAAGACTCCGCAGGAGCAACTACCGTAATTCCAGTTAGCCTGAGTACCCTTGGTTCTGAAGACTTATCAGGTACTAGTATCGGCATGAAGGACTACAAACATCAATATCATTTACTTTTGCAAGATAATCCTCATTCTCAAAGCCTAGGCCAAAATTTGGCCGAGACGCAGGCCCAACACCGTCAAACACAACAGCAGCTTTTTATAGTCATGGAAAAGAATCCTACTACTATAGGAAAAGATGATATACTTCATGGCGAGGAGACATCGTTCCGAGGTCTTATTCCAATATTGAGGCGAACTGATCCTTCATTGCCTTGGCGATCTGTAAGAGATGGGCAAGGAGGGTTTACAAATAGCCCTAGCGAAAGGCCCATTGGTACAAATAGTACAACGGTGTAAGCAGGATATTTTATAAATGCAATTTTATATTATATTTATATTTATTCTTCCCCAGACTCACCATTTATATTGTAATTTTTAAGGATGAAACTTCGCAAATGATGATGCCTATATATATATATATTAGGTTTTACTTATAACCGAACCGGCTCTGTATATTTTTCCAGTGTAAAAGATATTTTTGTGAGGTTTTGCTGTCTGTTTCTTTGCATTATCTTCTTATTTCCTAGGCACTTTCAAATTTAACTAATACTTTCGAAGTTAAAATCTTTAATCGGTCGTAGATAAAACGATTTAGAACTAGTCTTGCCGTCATTATCCGAATTAACGCTTTATTTCGAAGTTGAGTTAGAAGGAACTATTGAATTGGCCACAGTGGATAACATTTTTTTCAAATAATTACTTATATGTATGTGCTGCGAACGTAAGTCTATTGCGTGGCAGACATAGTCATGAATCGAAATAATAATTTACAATAAAAGCCCTAATCCACTAGAAATGTTGATTTTTTGCTTTAAAATTGTCTATTACATTAAGGATGCTAGCTCTGCACTAAGTTATCTGGGTGGCAGAAGTGTTAACTGAAGAATTCTTCACCTAATCCTATTTCGTTTAAAGTGATAAAGAGCTGGTAGTTAAATTTTTCCATAATGATATGAGTAGAGCTGGCGCCTCCATTGAATTTCACATAACCTTGCTTTCCCAAAAGTTGTTATCATTTGTTTCCAGTCACGCTAATTGATGAATATTTTTTAGCCTACCCTTAATTTGAAGTGATTCTAGTCTCATTTGATTGGCAGAATAT